TTATTTTTCAGTTGTTTCCGAGTCTGAAGGGAAAAGGTGCTGAGTGATTAGGCTTCTGAAGAACCCTCAACAAATGCCTAAAGAGACGCAAGATATGTTTGATGTCAGCCTCGTCAGGTGGGACTGAGGGATATATCAGTGGTTGGAGCATAACAGGTCTGGTAAAGATTAGGGAGCTCCTTCTAAAGCTGATCAGTGGGAGAGAAAAAAGGAAGAGCAAGGTGTGTTTTTTTTTATTACTTTTCATTTTGGAGAAAGTGGAAATATATTTTGACACACAAAATGTTCTGTATGTCTTTGATTAATAGGTACCTGGTGCATATGGCAGAGTGACAATTAGAAAGAGAACAGGGACATAACACCAAGCGTTCAAATGCCAAAAGGCTAAACAAACATCCTGGGTGCCCAATGGCTCTGTGTGCATAAACACAGCACATTTTGGTTTCTAGGTTACCAGCCTTCCCAAAGTATTGGTGCTGTCACAGTTAAGTGGAGGCACTGCTTTTCAGAACAACCTGGGCCACGTTAGGCTGCTGTGCTCCTGGGGCAGCACTGCCTGGACGTGTGACTCACGTGCTGGTGTCCAATTCCAGCCTTGCCCTGCAATATAACCTTGGGAAGCTAGAATGTCGATGAAAAGGGGGAAAACATAACCAATGTCCTTTGCAGTAGTAAAGAAGTTACTATTTAAAATACATTTAGACCTCTGCATACCCCGTATGCCAAGTATTTACTTAGCATTCAGGTCTCAAGTGGCTCCATTGTGGGGAGCAAACAACTCCAGTGCCTGCCAACTCGGAGGGGGAAAAGGTTGCTGCTGCTTACAAAATGCCCTCTTTGCAGATGGTCTATCTTCAGGTCTATCTGTCATTCGGTCAAAATTTATGAAACACTTACGTGATTCAAGCACTGGAGTGCTAGTTACCAGGGGAAACACACGAAAGCAACACGTACAAAAATATATTTCAGGAGACGAGAAGTTTGTGCCACATTGTACTGTGAAACAACCAGTGTGATGACACGTCTCATCAATCGCTAAACGATGGAACAGGATTTAAAGAGCAAACTTAGTGATCTGAGGAAGGAGAGACGTCAAGAAGGAGGATTTTGACAGCAATTAGGAAGCTGTGTTTAGAACCCCTGCGTTCACGTTTTAACTACTGATCACAAGGACTTGGGGCAAGTCACAACTTCTCATGGAGCCGCAGTTGTTCATCTGGAAACTGGGCATAATATTATCTTCCTAAGAAAGACTGTAAATAAGCTAATGTGTAGCGCCAGCAGTGTCTAGCCTATTCTAATCAACCACTCAGCTCTCGTAAGTGGGGTGGCCAATGGGAACAGCGGAGGTGGAGTCTGAACAGAGGAGGCAGGAAGGTGGGAACTGAACAAAGCAGGGTCAGTCAGATGAATACAAGTGATCCTGGGAAGTGAGGGGAAATGAGAACGATGACAGAAGGATATGGAAAGTGGCGGAGTAATTCAGACTTGATGGGAGAGGCAGTAAGGAGCCACGTGGTGATTTAGCCCAGAAAGACAAAAGGAAGGAAACAGGCAGGAGACAAAGAAACGAGCTAGAATTGGTATGCTACGCTGGGCAGGAGGGGATGAGGACCCGCTATTTTCAGCCTTCTTATGTTTTGTTTTTCTCTTCCTTAGGGCAGCAATCAGTGCACCAAGTATTTGTTTAGACTTCATACTTGCAAAGTACCTATACAAAGTACTTGATCGCATTTTGAACTTGCAACCTTTGGAATATTACTACTATGTACAGTTGAAAAAAATTGTAAGTTCCCAAATACAATGTTGATGACTTTTCTTCTGGTTATTTAAGAGAAAGCAAAGGAGCCCTTGTTTGAAGCACCTTCAAAGTAACTCCAGTTCCTCCTTAAAACCATTAAGGAGCACACTGGGATGGCTATTACAAGCTAGACAACCTTTACATTCTCGCTGGGGTCATGACATGAGGGAGATATGAGGCTTAAAAAGGGCTTCCTTTTACTAATCACAGATTAGTAATGCTCTTTTTTGGATAATATACAACCAGAATATAAAATCATTTTGAAATCCAATTTTGCCAAAGATGAATAAACACGTATATCTGCACAAACAGCACATAAGGGAGCAGAATGAAATCTCAGCCCAGAGTCTGGTCAGATTCCTGCAGCCTAAACTACGAAATGGCTTTGCATCAGTGAGCACTTATCCCCTTTACTGACCCCAGCTCCCAGCACATGCACATACACACCCCCAACCCTAAAGGTACTGTTTGTCTGTTCCTGGATACCATGAGCTACTAATTAAGTTCCAGCAGGTGACTGACAAACATTTTCTGTGTGCTTCCTGGGTGCAAAACATTGTGCTCAGACCTGGGCAAGCACGGTGGCATTCTTCAGGTCCTCCCTACCTCTTTCATGACTTTGATTGCTTCCCCCCGGTGCTGGGGGGGTGGATAGAGCAACATGCGGTGATACAGGGACTGGAGCACGGGCTTCATGGAGTCCACCGACCCCACCAGCCGGACCAGCTCGGCTGCAATGTAATAGATAGTGCGAGCCACGGGCCCACTCAGGGCTGGCGCTGTGGAGGAACAGCCCGAGCCCCGGCCGTGGTCAGAAACTCCTGGAGCCACAGAGTCCGACTCCATGCTGGTACTCGTGCTGCTGCTGTGAGCAGAGGTGATGGTTTTGTCGAGAATTGGATTCCCCAGGATTACGACGAGAGCAGGACAAAGGTTCTTCCTGAGAAGAAAAATAACTTTCACTATAAACCAAATGATCAAATGTGAATACTATCCTGAAGGCAGATACCAGGTGCCACACAAATGACTAATTAGTGTTGGGTTCTTTTGGCTATGTCCTGCCCCAGTTTTTCATATATCTCCATCACTTCTGGGTATATGAATAAAACACTTTCTCATAAGTCAAGCTAGGATTAACTAAATAAAATATCAAGAGAAGTGCTAAGAAACCATCTTACATGAAGAAAGGGACTCAAAATGCTACCTGTCTCCATTATAAAGTTTCATTGTACTATAAATAACAAAATTATTTGTACTTCTCATTAGAGAAGTTACTTTGAAATTCTGACACATATACTGACACGATCCTTCATCTTGCCTCCTCTGGATGAGCCCAGGAACGCAGAGCAACTAGCTGTCTGCCCGCGGGCCCTGTCACTTGTGTGAATCTCTGACTATGACTAAGTGGCAGGTATTCAGGTTGAGATGGAGAATGTACCAGGGCTAAGAATAACATTCCGTAGCTCTAGCCCCACCCCTACTCCCACACAACTTTCTGGTGCCCTTGGATGCTTTTAGAACATACTAATAACCTAAAAAACACTCTCCTCATTTCTAACTCTTACGATTCTATGGTGTAAACAAAAAGCAAGAAGGCTTTGGAGGTCTATTTTGTCGCAATAATGATCTGTATTTTGGCCCGGTGCATGTAAGTGAAGCAACTTCCCTACTTTCCCTCTAAAACGTTTTTTTTTTTATTATTAGTTTCAGGCGTACAAAACAACATAGCGATTAGACACTTACACACCTCACAAAGTGACAACACCAACAAGTCTCCTACCCATCTGACACCATACATAGCTATTTAGCTATTAAAATACCATTAACTATATTCCCTATGCTGTACTTTACATCTCGTTACTATATATAT